TTTCATTGAAATGTGATGATTAGTACTTGAGATATCAGTGGAAAAACCGAAAATTGACTAATCATTATGCAAATTAGGTAATTAGTATCCACGGATTATTACCAAAAACTAATCAAAACCTAGCATTAGTTCAGAGCATCTATGTACCAAGTTTCATCAAAATCCAATGAGTGGTTGTTTAGATATCAGTGGAACAGTCATGGAACCACTAAAAAATAGCTAATTATCATGCAAATTAGGTAATTAATATGCACGGATTTTTACCAAAAATTAATCAAATCTGCGCATATGTTCAGAGCATCTATGTACCAAGTTTCATCAAAATCCAATGAGTGGTTCTTTAGATATCAGTGGAACAGTCATAGAACAGCTAAAAATTAGCTAATTATCATGCAAATTAGGTAATTAACGAGCATGGATTTTTACCAAAACCTAATCAAATCTGCGCATTGGCCCAGAGCATCTATGCACCAAGTTTCATCAAAAACCGATGTATGGTTCTTGAGATAGCAGTGGAACAGTCGGACACACATACACACACACACACATACACACATACACACATACACACATACACACATACACACACACATACAGACACACTAACTGCAAAGACTCCCATTTTGTGCTTCGCACATGGGAGTCAAAAACAAACCATATTCCCAATTCTCAGAGAAGAGCATGCATATAATGTGCAAGTAGTTTGCATGATAGCAGTTGGTCAATACTGCATAGCACTTATAGATGTCTACAGATGTCCTAAACACTCTGCTGGATACAAAATGAGACAATTTATCCTCACAGCAAGATACAATGTATAGCTTGTGGAATTGCTTCTTTATTGATGTTATCTATTACTACATTAAACAGCAACATCTTGCCTTGGTATTTTAAGGCGCAGTCACACCATGACGTTCTGGCTAGCATTCTCTGGCGTTTGAGGAAACGTTGGTAGTCGCCCAAAGTCACTGGGACAGCGCCAGAAGAGCGCCGTGAGAACGCTAGTGAATGTCGGTAATCGTTGCTGATCGTCGGGAATCGGCGAAGAACGCTGATCCCAAAAAAAAGTTTTGAACATGCACAAAAGTTCTCATTTGAGACCAGCGTTCTTCAACGTTTATTTTTAAACGCTGTTAAACGTTAAATAACGTTCTTCGATCGTTTTGCTAATGTTCGACGCGTTCAAGAATCGTTAGTCAGTTGTTGCTCTAGCGTTACTTAGTTGTTACCAATCGCTCGCTTTGCAGTGAACAACTCACTAGCGACCTGTCAACGACCGCTGAACGTACCCCTAGCGCACATAAAGCGTGCGACTAACGTCAAATTAACGACCTAATGTTAGATACACGCTCAACACGCTCACTTAACGTTTAAAAGTCATTCATCGCACGCTAGTGACACATTAGCACACATCCATGATTTCCAGGGGTATCTTACTTGGTCGCTCATTACACGCTCCTCGTGCATTAGGGGCACTCGTTATTCAAACGCTGGGAGTGTCTACCTCGTTCCAGAATGCTCGGAAATTGGACGATTGGAATGTTCAGAGAACGCTGACCAAAACGTTATGGTGTGACGGGGCTATTACAGACAGTTATTATATAATGTTTGACAGAACTCTGCACAGAGTAATGCGGGTTCTGGAATAAAGAGTATAAAAAATAACCAGTCACATGACAGAATTTGGATGTACATGCATGTTTTGAAACAGTGTTCAAGTGGATCAGTTCAGGTGAGATATATAATATTGGCTCACCTTAATTGGCACTTTATGCTTTGAGAAAGCTCTACTTTTTAAAAGCTGGTATATACAATGTACGGGTAAAAAACCTGTTATTGTAGAACTCAAATCTGCTGTCACAGGTACAGTCACTGCATGTGATGTCACAACCTAAGAATTGAGAACATATAACGATTATCAAAAACAACAGAAATTAATACTCAAGATGAACTGACCCTTTCACCACTATTGTCAATTTTTGTTACCTTCCACAAAATAGTCCTCTTTCTGTTTCCATAAACAAGGTGTGAATTAAAGTTTGAACAATTTTAATTTCACCTGATACTTTATATGAAAGTTACTGTGTTAAAAGGATAAAACATACCTGTTCAGTAAATATTTCTTGTGTGAAAGTCAACCGCATTCTGGCAAGTGAGTTCGGTCTGACAGCGATCTAAGTAGTATGCAATGAAAGGATAGAAATATTATCAACTTAGGCCAGACTTTTATTATCCCTTGTTTCGCGAACCCGCCAAATGAACAGGAGCCAAAATGGAAATAAAAATAAAATTTTATTTCAGCGTAATTTCTCGGGCCCACCGACTTGTGAGTGAAAAAAATTGCTAAAAAGAATTACCGCGATATTTTTATTTTCATTTTTTTTCCACCCGCCGCCTAACAAATCCAAGTTGCATTTTTGTGGGAGTATCATGATCGAGTACTAAAGTCTCTTGCAGATCTATACTATATGCGCGTTGGTTGACAGTAAATCTCGGGTATTGACCTCTCTATGTGCTGCTTGCAAATACCAGGCGAACATGGCGGCGGCGTGGTTTGTGGTAATACGCCTTGAAACTCTGTCGTCAAAAACTGAGAAATCCCTCAATAATGCTGAAAACTGCCAACCAGGTTATACATGGAATAAAATTTTATTTCATTTCTTCTTGCTGATCAATTATCTTACTTACAATTTTATTTTTTTTTATCGCCCTCCTCAAAAAAAGGAATAAAAAAAGTTTGGCCTTATTTATATCATTCATTTTACCTATTAATCCATTCCACAGAACAAGCAAAGAGCCTAATTACGGCTCTGGAATCTGGGAGGCAACATGTGGATGGAGAGAAAGTAATCACCATGGAAATCCAAATATGTGGTTTCTTTAATGATCAGCACTGAGGTCAGAAACAGTACTGTAAAGGGGGTAATTATTCACTGGGTTTTAATTTAGCTTATTTCGCTGACTGGAAAAATGCGCTAAATTAAAACACAGTGAATATGTAAAATTTAGCATAGAACACATTATCTAAATGACGAAACCGTGAATTTAAAACCCACTGAATATGCCCGAAATGGTAAATCAGTGAAATTTAAACCCAGTGAAAATTAGTCATTTTACAGTATATGGGACAAATAGATTTGAATATCTTCATCTAAATATCTAATAATTCATAATTGGTGTTCTAAGCAGACTGCACTCATATTTGTACCCATAACTCTCCTGATGCACGGCAACCAAGCAATTATACTTGCAGTTTTCAAGAAGCTGAAAATATCACTTTTTACCAAAAACAACAAAAATATTTATCAAAATTAGAAAATTAACAATATTGTCACAAAATGAACAAAACATATATACATATACTTGTATATATCAAACCTATCAGACTTGTACATTTCAAAAGAAGTCAAAAATGAAAAATGACTAGCTAGACTTGATGAATTTGACAATGGAGCTAAAAATAGTACTAACATTATAGAATTAAATGAACAAATCTAAACAAGAATTGTAAAGTTGAAGTCAATGGGCAGTCAGTAATATGATTTAAATTGACTTAAATAGAAACATTTGTACCACAACTTATCAAAGCGACATAACATACATGTACATGTACAAAGTTACATTGACGCACAATAACATTAGGTCGGGAATAGATTTTTTTTAGTGGGTGCCATTTTTTTAAAAATTTAAATTACATGTATATCTTTCAAATAGAAAAAAAAAACATTAATTTTTGTGCATAATACCAACAACATGGACAGTTACATACAAAATTGAAGTTACATAAAGAAGAACTTCTACTTTACCTTCATCCCAAGTGTAGAGCACACTAAATCTACAACTGGCTGCATTTGATTAGCATGGAAGTGGATGGCCATCAGTAATAACATTTCACCAAATGAAGCACTGACTCCACTGGCACTGTAAACAAAACACAACAGTGGGTCATCATGGGGAAGTTGTAAAACGAAAACTACCAACAAAATAGGATTACCCAGCATTTAATACTTATTTTGATTTGTTAAAAAATACAAAACAATGTTACAAGGTTTAGTTAAAAAAAATGTTAAATATCTCAGAGAGAGAAGAAGGGGTTAAGATAAATGGAATAATAGAGACTGGAACTTATGACATTCAATAGCAGGGCTTGCCATGTTGCATTTTTGTCCAGCAAAATGCTTATCCTAAAATAGTGGTCCTAATGAGTCTGGATTGAAGAAGATTAGAAGTAATTCTTCACAGTTTTATAGATGTTAGGAGAAAATGGGAAAAAACTATAACTAGGCTATATTATTGAAAGACTGGTAATTCAGTTAGCACAACATCTGCTGAAAGCCTCCAAAGATAGCCAAATTGAATGACAAAAAAATGACATCAGCATGGTAAAGTTGGAAATTTTGAAGACAGTCTGCAATTGAGATACTTATAGGATTAATCTGACCGAGTGAATTGGTCTTAAAATAGACTATGAACTGTGGGAAGTAGATATCTAGACTGGCATTGCAAACAAGGTTCTTACAGTATACATGCACCTGTTTTGTAATTTTTACAAAAGCTGATAGTTTACCTTTCAAAGTAGGAGCCTTCCTTCACCAACCAATTCATCCAACTTATACCAACTTTCTCTTGATCAGCAGAACTGTCAATTTAACAAAATTTCAGGTATATTTAGTTACATGTAATAAAGACTTGGATCCATAAAGCACAATGATGTAACCTCAAGGTAGTACTACCTCATGTTTTTAGTATATATCAAGTTTGAATGAAATGCAGTCAATGTACATTTGTAGATCACAGTCTGGACCCAGAATAATAGAAATGCTTGAATTTTGTGTATTTATAGTACAAAAATGCCATCTTCAATCACTAAACAGATGCATGTACATATTTATCCCGGGTGTAATATTTTTGAGAAAATTTTGAATGTAGTCACTACAATCATTTCCGAGAACAAAACAACATTTAATATACACTTTACTTATAATATACCTCTATACAAAATAGACACTTTGAAAGGAATCAGTAACACAAAGCCATGTATCAAGGTCACAAAGCCATGTATCAAGGTCACAAAGCCATGTATCAAGGTCACAAAGCCATGCATCAAGGTCACAAAGCCATGTATCAAGGTCACAAAGCCATGCATCAAGGTCACAAAGCCATGCATCAAGGTCACAAAGCCATGCATCAATGTCACAAAGCCACGCATCAAGGTCACAAAGCCACGCATCAAGGTCACAAAGCCACGCATCAAGGTCACAAAGCCACGCATCAAGGTCACAAAGCCACGCATCAAGGTCACAAAGCCACGCATCAAGGTCACAAAGCCACGCATCAAGGTCACAAAGCCATGCATCAAGGTCACAAAGCCATGCATCAAGGTCACAAAGCCATGTATCAAGGTCACAAAGCCATGCATCAAGGTCACAAAGCCATGCATCAAGGTCACAAAGCCATGCATCAAGGTCACAAAGCCATGAATCAAGGTCACAAAGCCATGCATCAAGGTCACAAAGCCATGAATCAAGGTCACAAAGCCATGAATCAAGGGTCACAAAGCCATGAATCAAGGGTCACAAAGCCATGCATCAAGGTCACAAAGCCATGAATCAAGGTCACAAAGCCATGAATCAAGGTCACAAAGCCATGAATCAAGGTAACAAAGCCATGAATCAAGGTCACAAAGCCATGTATCAAGGTCACAAAGCAATGAATCAAGGTCACAAAGCCACGCATCAAGGTCACAAAGCCATGAATCAAGGTCACAAAGCCACGCATCAAGGTCACAAAGCCATGAATCAAGGTCACAAAGCCATGCATCAAGGTCACAAAGCCATGAATCAAGGTCACAAAGCCATGCATCAAGGTCACAAAGCCATGAATCAAGGTCACAAAGCCATGAATCAAGGGTCACAAAGCCATGCATCAAGGTCACAAAGCCATGAATCAAGGTCACAAAGCCATGAATCAAGGTCACAAAGCCATGAATCAAGGGTCACAAAGCCATGAATCAAGGGTCACAAAGCCATGCATCAAGGTCACAAAGCCATGTATCAAGGTCACAAAGCCATGCATCAAGGTCACAAAGCCATGCATCAAGGTCACAAAGCCATGAATCAAGGTCACAAAGCCACGCATCAAGGTCACAAAGCCATGACTCAAGGGTCACAAAGCCATGCATCAAGGGTCACAAAGCCATGCATCAAGGGTCACAAAGCCATGCATCAAGGTCACAAAGCCATGCATCAAGGTCACAAGTGGATCTCTGCATGTACAAAGGTGGATACATCAACTTATGCCTGAATGAATACACAGGAAATAAAACCCAGAAAATAATACCTGGTACATGTAAGTATTTGCCATATTTGCTCTATCAGAAGTTTAAATAAATATAAATGGTCAAAATAAGACATAATTCAGTAAGATAGAACACAATAAATGTAATTTGTATTATGTTGAACTTGATCATTACATAATGGATATGATGTTCATACCTTATGATTGAGGGGCATGCCATTAACATGCAGAGTCCTAAGGAAACAAATCGTATACCAGCTGGAGTGGGTGGTGGTTGTGATGTCACCAAACACAATAATTGCTCTGATTCGTCTTCACTGAATCTATAAATATAAACATGCAGGTAATTTTAGATAGTTAAAGGGCCATAGGGAAGATACATGAAAACTTACTATGTTACCTTCGTTAAACAAAGTTTATTATAATTATAGCTGCTATGTCATTATTAACAAACTTAGTGGGCATGAATAATAAAAATGTGCACACAATAAATATATTTTTCAGAGGGGTGGGGGTCAAAAGTTATTTAAAAACCATTTAAAACTCGTCCTCGTTTTTTTTTTACATTGGTCTACATAAACATGCAGTTATCTTAAAATTATCCACTTTCAATTGTAGGAATTCAATTGTCAATGAGTAAATATGTTCTTAATTAATGTGTTACAGTGTGTAACTGAGTTAATTTACAAGTATTGTGAATAAGCTGGGATCATTTCTGGTTGACAGTTCATAATTGAATAATGACATCACACAGATAAGCACTATGTAACCATTACCTTCAATCATGTTTAATAAAACAAACTTACTTCATGGTAGCTATCCCTCGCAATGCACAATATAATCGAATTAAAGCACTGGCTTGCACGACGTGCCTGTCCACAATAACACAGTGATCACCAGATGGTATGATGGTGGTTAATTCTTGTAATAACTGTTCCCTCAGTGAATGCAACAATGAACTTGGTGGGTCTCTCTTCCTCTGTCAAAGTCAAAATAACATAAACTATATATTAAGCCTTGCCAATCTATTACATTGTTAGATGCAGAGACATAATATATGTAAGATAATTCCTAAAACATTTATAATATAAGTGAATTACATGTGCAGCTTGTTCTCCTCTCAGGTTGGTCTAACAATGCACAATACTGTAAAAATCTGCAGTATTGAAAATAATTGTATTTTTTTCTAGAGTGTGATACAAATGAACATTTTTTTTTTTTGGTAAAAGAATTAATGGAATAATTTTTGGTCCATTCAATAAATTGATTGTCTTTTTTTTTTTTGGATGAAAATAGACAAGACGGACATTTACCAGCCTGAAAATATTATCTATTATTATAGATCTTTCACCGTAATGCCATAAGTTACAGCATGCCATAATTTTGCAGTATTTTACAGGGTATTTTCATTCTACCATATTAGGAAATACGAATTCCAAATATGGAATGATTATGCGCGTAAGCGTTCTCTATTAGTAAAAACAAACATGGCTGCCACCAGGGTTTGACACTAATTTCACTAATTCTGTTCTAAACATTTTGGATTTCGGCATTCCCATGATGTATCATGGGAAGGAAAAGATGTATAATAATAAGGTTATTAGGAGGAGTATGCATTCAGACAGTGCAAAGTATGCACTCAGATAGTGCACCGTCACATCGATACTCCTGCTGTACTGTCCTTGTGCATACTTTGAGGTATTCTTGTAATAACCTCATAGTATCAACATGTTCAGCAAGAGTTTAAGGCATACTACTGCAATGTACTTGTGATGAAGCACACAATTCTGCCAAAATATATTGCTATGATATCCAAGTTATGCCCAAGATGAACATCCCAAAAACGAGGTACTCTAACTTGTTTTCCCCAAAAAATATATAATGAAATTTCCTTGTTAGGTTAATTTAGAGACATTAAGAAATTCAAAATGATATGCAACTAAGAGCTTCATGGATCTGGTGAGCTTGTACTGAAACAGAGTCAAGTAGTTATCCAATCAAAAAATACATGCATTAGGTCACTCATGGCATCTACAATGTAAGTACGTAGTAATGAACCTTCAACCTTTCGGCAACATTGGAGTGTACACTACTAAAGAGTTTGCACTATACACAGTGAGTGACTTTAGAGCCGAGACAGCTGCTCTGAGATTTTTATGGCTGGATCATGATTACATGCAAAGCCTAAATCTTACCTTCTGTCCATTCCTTACAAACTGTGCCATCCACCCTCTGACTGTGGAATTGCTGCCAAGTAAGAGTCCACTAATAAAACCAACTAAGTCACTTACACCATTAGATTCAACATGATTACTTTTACAGTGGTCTAAAGACAAGGCGATTGCTAACCCAGGTAAGCGACAATTTTCAACCTGATACAAATGATAGATAATATACAGTTAGGTTAAAAA